GTGAAAATTTGAAAGTCGCCTGAAATGTTACTCGTGCGTAAGTCTATTAAACCACGCTTTAGTTGCGTTTCTAGAAGATTAACTCGCACTGATCCTATAATATCATGAGATCCAACGAGATACACCTCCGCGTCTCTCGATGATTATCTCGCAACGTCTTACCCAATTAGCATGTTTTAGTTCGCTTAGAATCGTGAAGAGAAAGTTCTGAGATTATAACGAAAGTGCGGGCGGACTAAATGCTTTATGTAAAAGATAAGTCATAAAGTAGAAGAACAAAGATGTGATATATTAGGATGGTGAAATATATACGCAGAAAGTATAAAGTTCAATTATCTTAATAAATTCTTTGATCAAGCAAAGCTTGAAATTTTTGTTCAGTAAAATTTGGTTGTAACTTTTTTGTCTCAAATATGTTTATAACTACATTTCAAGTTAAAATTCTGTTAAAATTTCGATTAAAATTCTATTAAATCTGCTAAAATAATCTCGTAATTCTACTGAAACAGTTTTCAGTTAAATTTATATTAGGAACATAAAACTTGATAAGAATAAAATTATGTCACGCATATACATTCTCGTGTAATTAAGTTCATAAAAATTCATAAAAAACCCTCAAAGGATTTCTATCGCTTACAACGCATGGGCCATTAGCGTTGTTACATTTTTGCGGGAACATCAATTTCGGCAAATTCATCCGTAAAATGGGAAATATGAAACATAGTGCGTGTTTATTATTTTTGTTACAGCTGACGTTAATATTTGCGAATACACACACGACAAATGAATATTTGGAAACTAGAAGTGAAAATATACACCGGGTGTATATACATATATTTCGAACTATTGTTCTAAATCGAGAGATTATATTTCAAAATCGATATATTATACTATTGTTGCATTTAGACACACAGTCTACAGACTGTAGACACGTGAAAATAGTTTCTATGTTTATTCGCGACAATGGGAACTGTGGTGTAAAGCACGTTTCTGTTCGTTTATAGCATTGAAAATCGAACCTGCCGATATTATACTGATTCTAATCCCCGCCCCTCCCCCCTTCATTCTGCTTAAACCCGCAGTATTCCATTTTCGTTTATCCACTCCGGCCTATTTTGATCTCGCACTACTCTTTTTCCCTGGCACCGTGCTCGCCTTTTATCATCTCACACCCGGGGCGATGGTAATTGCTTGAATTTCCGAGGTCCTCGCGCAGCCGAACGTCGCCGAGCTGGGCTAGGCATCGCGTGAGCGGAGACAAGCGTTTAATTTACCTGGACCAAGTTCGCGCGCGAAGTCCTTGTCGCAGTCCGTGGCGCCGAATGAAATTGCGAAAGTTGTTCGTCTAGAACGACAATGGCGCAAACGAGGTGTGAAGCGAGGCTATGAAATATAACGGCATGACGGCAACGACGACGACGACAACGACGACGAGTCCAACCCGGCCGGAGGCCTCTCGACCAACTTTTTTACTCCTCCCTACCGTGCGTTCCCGTGTAACATCGCGATGATCGATAACCGAGCGTAATTTCTCATCTGCCCGATCGATATACGCGTACATTTTGGAAAGGCGAAACGTTTTACTCGCGCGCGAACACCATTGACTTGGGCGCTGGTCGACTTGGGCCGAGTTATGAATAATGCATGCGATAAATTTGCGTCGCACGCATGCAAGCGCCCCGGTAATTCCATTAGCTATACCATTTTATCGCTCGATACCGTGGATTCAATTGAGTAACTCCTTTCACGCCGCCAAGTACCGTTCCGTTATTTCCTACGAGCGTTCCGCGCCGCGACAGTCGGCGAGCGGTATAGTACGTGATCCCGATATTTCTCGCGCGCACGATTAACGTCGCGCGGCATGTTAACTAGTCCATTAATGTCTACAGTTTATTTTTTACTAGATATATTATGCGTTTTTATGTGCTTAATATTGTAGTAGAGTAAAAAATTGACGATTTATCTTTCATCAAAAGGCACGAACAATTATTTCTTGTAGTCGCAGCTTTTTATTTAAAAATGAAAAATAAATATACACTACCGGTTAAAAGTTTGAGTACGTTAAATTTTTTGGAATGAAGAATCACACACAATAAAATGCAAAATAAAAAAGTTTGAACAAAAATAACGTTTGTACATTTATTTTATAAATTTAAAACCTTATTTTTTAAACTATTTTTGGATTCTTCAAAATATTCTCCACAAGTTTTAATGACTGCTCGATGAATGTGGGGCATTTTTGCAGCAATTTACTGATGTAAATTAAAATAGATTTCCATTTATTTAATAGCATTTTTCAAAGCTATTCTATATTCGTTAAAACATAATTTTATATTTTTCTGTCCAATTTATTCCACACTATCTCAATAGGATTAAGATCTGGATTCTATTTCAACTGAATGCGTCAATAAATTGCTAAATTGCGTTTATTGCACAGTCATTATAGTTTGCGGAGGATATTTTGAAGAATTCATAGTTCGAAAAATAAGGTTTTAAATTAATAAATTGAATGTACGAACGTTATTTTTCTTTAAATAAACTTTTTTATTTTATTATGTATAATCGACAGTTCTTATATTACTCCAAATGAAACTTACTATACTCAACTCTTGACCGGTAATGTATATTATATAAGTATTAATACATTTCTTTTTTAAAACGTAAACTTCTATAAAAAAATTATTAACACTGTGTTCAATGAATATGATTTATTAGCAAGAAAAGATAAAGTAACGAAACAAATTGCTATGATACGCTAAATTGGACAGAAAACGAACTTCGTATCTCTTTATTTTTAAGGTTTTATGCAGTCGGTGATAATTTATATCTTTCACATAGCACATTACCTCATTATCTTCGTTTGTGACGTAAATCAACCGTCTCTGCTTTTCTTTACGAGACGATTCATTAATCACTGTAATTAATCAGTGAAACGACGAGAACTATATATAATACTTTTATTACTTCCGCCGCTTCATATTCGTTAATTATCTCTCGCATTTTATAATATATCGAGTATCAATGAAAATTGAATAACATTGTAATTACGTTATTTAAAATAATCATAAGAATTATTATTATGCGTAAAAGAATTACCATGGCGTCATTATGTATTTATTAATTTAATACATATTGTATATACGCATGTTAGATCTTATAATGACTTTCATTAATGAATTTCAACAATTTCTCACCTAATAATCAGACATGGTAATTCCATCACGCATTTTATACAATACGAAATGTTTGAATTGCCTTTATTACATTATTTATGTGCAGTCACATGCACATATAATTTTCTAGATAAATAAATTGAGTATTTTATTTTGAATATTACAAATGTGACTTTTTGCACTATTTAATTTAAAATGCTATTATAAACCATTAATGCATTGACTGAAATCTGATGCATAAAATATGCCATATTACATTCTAATTAAACATTCTAAATATACATAAGCCAGAAATATTTCTTCGAGTATTTTCTCAGTATTGAATAGCGTATTATGTTCTTTGTCCCGCTCATGTTATTTAATGAGAGATTCTGTATTTCGTTCTAACGAATTTAATTACGTACTCCTTATATGTGGCCTTTTGCACTTGATAACTGCTCGCAAGCTTATTACTCATTTTTCTTCTTTCTATTTATCGTGAATAATTAGAGCTGAGAGTTTCTATCTCGACTAATTGCGCGACTGACAGCGCAAAAATATAAAAGCAATTTTGTTTTTATATGGAATCTTTTCATTTTTACAGCGTGAACGAAAAATTATGTTTGCATGCATAGCGGATTTTTTATTAAATCCCAGTTAAATATACACGGATAATTGTTTCGCGAAAGAGAAACTATTATTTCAAGAAAACGTTGACATAGTACAAATTGAGAATTCTATTTTCACACGTAGCACATTTTTTATCAGGACTCATTTAAATATATAATTTTAATATACAAATAATTGTGTTTCGCGGCAAAGCTTGATTATTTTAGGTGACATGTAACGTGACATACATTTCTCTCTATCGTGCCTCACGTCAGTTTCCGTCACTTTCAGGTGTTCATCTGCTATCTAGAACCTAAATTACAAATTACCTTCCTTCCTCGGTTTACATCGACCATACGCGGTGAAGGAATTGCACGGGTATCGTAGGCAAACAGCAAACAATCGACTTCCTCTCCGTTTACGAAGCGCAAACATGAGCTATAAATCTCTACGTTTCTTTCCCCTACCGCTCTCTCTTGCTCTTTGACTAAAACAGCCGTTGTAAATCTCTCTTTCTATTCGAACAGCGAATGTCGCGTTGCAATTAACGTAATTAAACTGAATCTTAATTATCGTAGGCAATAGAGAATGAGATTTTATCTGTGTCATGAAATACCGCTTCGCCGCTTTGTACGTGTATGTATATGTGTGATTCCTTTACTCAAAGTCTTGTATTTTTTTTATTGTCACTACTCTTGATTAATATCTCTTTCACGACACATTTAAGATTGCAGATTGCATAAACAACTATAAGTAGCAATTGATAAGTATCCGAGTATATAATTATTTGTAAAGCAGAGCAATAAACTTATCTATTTTGCGCCATCAGAGTAAATCAACACTATTTTAGGCATTAAAATGTCCAAAGATGAATATACGATGATAATCTTAAGTGTCTACAACTGCAATTTAAATGCCGGCTTAACATCTGTATAATTCTCAGAGAGTTGTTACACCAGAGGAAACAAATTTACTTAAGTATATGATAACGAGCCTTGTCACTAAATTACGTACACAATCCGAGATGCGGCGGAAACTGTGAGAAAGCGTTGCAAATTCGAGACATTAAACAATGATGAGTTAACGACAACTTCAAGGTATTTATTTCATTTCTCCGACGTGACTGAAGGTACTTTTTCACGATTTTCTCACGGTCGTGAACGCGCACGTCACACATTCTCTTTTTTCGTCGCGCGGACACGGCGCTCATGCAGGATGATTAAATGGCAAAATGATTACCTTCCGTGCACATGAAGAGTATGGCAGCAATCGAGAGCCTCGCTTGCCATCTCAGAGCCATTTTCCACGGCTGTTTCGGGTGACGCTTGCACTTCGATACTGAAACGATTCACATCCTCCACGGTAGCGATTGCTACTATCACCATCCACTCACTAATATCTCACAGGCCAGGCGATATCTTATCACCCGTTTTCGCCAAGTACTCACGATTGCATTCACGAACAAAGACTAAAGCTGGCGATTCATTCGTTATTAGTTCCGAGATTTTGAATCCACGCGACCCGCCGAGCTCAGGGAGATGAATTATCGCAACACGGACGGTCCACCAGATTTCCCACAAGACGCGGCCCGATCCGTCGCGTTGTTGCGCGCGCGTGCATATGTGCGTCGCGCGCGATCCCTCGCGCGGTGGTGTAATCGCTCCACGTAGGCGATAACGCGCGCGGAAATGATTATGGCGAAACTTTCGACGGGCGGCGCGCCGCGAAACTTTTCGCCTATCCTTGTCCGCGCTGCTCGGACGAGATCCTCGCCCCGTCGCGCCGCCTCTTCCACGCGCGAATTCGACTCGGCACAGTTTAGATCTCTTTCGGGTTTCCCGAAGAAGATCCCTACGTAAACGCTGAAACCGCTTTCGGGGAAAACTTGACAATTCACGCCTCGCTCGGATTTCGGGGATTTTCTTGTCCCCTCACAGGGCGGTGGTTGCAGTCTCCGTTGCGCGATCGCGTGCAGTTCGCATCGTCGCGCGGACGGTTTTGAGATTCGAAAATCGCCGTGGAATCGTGAGACGCATAGCGCGATGATCTCTCCTCTTTCTTCTCTCTCGATTGTTCGCGACGCGCGGAGTACCGGCCAGATCGACGCTGCGTGATCGCTGGATCACATTCGGAGCGGCCGATCGATCGCGCGCGGCTTGTCTCGCCGGTCAGTTCGAAAGTGACTCTCGAACTCGCACTCTTCACCTTCGTTCCGTCGCTCTACTGGAGATCACTCGAGATCGCGCAGCCAGCGATCCGGTTCACAGGGAGGCTCTCCGTTCACCGCATTCATCATCCGCGCTCGCTTCCTTGCGATCCGCTTCTTCCGGACAGTTAGCGAAACTTCACCGGGCCGAAACTGTTCCTCGGAGATTCACGGCGCCGCTGTCTTCCTTTTTCTTTTTATTTCTCTTCCGCTTCTCGACCGCTGCTTCTTTTCCGCGCCGACTACGTTTCGACGATCAGAACGCAACTCCGCCCGTCGCGACTTTCCATGTCGATGTTTCGGTGTCTGGCAAACGGCTTTACACGGCGCGCTATTTTAAGAAATCGTCACGCAACCGATCATTCGCGTACACGACATTGTATATAGCATAACGGCACACGCACCACGTCTTGTTTCGGTGGCAGATTTACCCTGACTGGGGAGATTCTCGGCCGTAGGAGCATGCGCGTTTCCAATCCACCCCCTGTGTGACGATAGAAGCGCGCAGAGGGTCCACGGACGCGCGCACACAAACACAAACACATACATACACATGTACAGAGATGCACACACACTCCACCTCGTACAGGGTAGGACGTCGACACACGCTCGTCCAAGAGGCGCGTACGCACACGCACGCACACGTACATGCATGCGGTAAGGGAAACGTCCCCTCCCTCCTTCCCACTCTCCTTCGCGCTTTCTCTCTGTCTCTCTCTCTCTCTCTCTCTCTCGCTTCTCACCCTTTCTCCTTATCCTCCAGGACGTACGGCACTGTGTGTCACGGGCAGAAACTGTGGCAGGGCGTGCAAGGAGTTCAGAATCAAGGTACGAAATCCTTGGTACTCTTAGAGACGCTGCGATGGGCTTAAAGATTTACTCGCGTCTCCGCGTACTTGTCAATCCAATCACGAATATGGCGGACTCTTGACTTCCGGTCTCGAGATTTCATCCTCGCGATGTACGAAATCTTTTTATGACGTAATTACGAAATATTGGATATTCTCCATTGATATCGGAAAGTATAAATTTGGCATCATATAAAATTATATTGTACACATGAATGCTCTCTTAGTTCATAAATTGTATCGAATAAAATCGATAGTATTAGTATAGTATGCGTAACATTAGTATTTTGCAAATTGAGGTTTTAGTAAATCTTATAAATTTGTAAAGTAATAAAAATAATATGACAGATATTAACTCTACAGATATTAACAATTTCAAATTAAAATTGACAATTTAATTTTATCCAATTTTGAACCACCTTTTTTTATTGTGCGTTTTATTTCAAATTGTTCAATCTTTGTATGACAATTTTTATTATTTTTTTATAAGTTTCGATATTACGGAATAAACAGCATTTGAAACACTGTTCTGAATATACATATACATACCAATTTAATTATCTGAAAAATAAAAAGTTAGTTCAAAACTGTGATATAACAGTAATTTTTAATAGTATTATTTCAATAAACATCTATTTTGTTATTGAAAATCGTTTTTTCTATATTTATCAGCTTTTGTCAGAACATTTGCATATAAGCGCCTCTTCGCATATCGTGTATTCTTCTATTTAAATTGTTTTCCATACAATTCATTTTGTACTATTTCGAACTACCAATGCTTCTCAAACACTAAGAATGGAAACTATCTTTGCTCAGGAATACGATATTCCAGTAATGCAAGTAACACGAACTCGAGAACAACGCGTCCGACAAAAAGCAACAGGAATATAAGGAATTATAAAGGAACAGGTAATGCGAAGAGAGAACGTTTTACGAATACCAATAATACGTATAAAAGTTTTCTTAGTATACTTGAAAAACCATATATGCATATCTTATTGCAGACTTATTCAGACACAAGAAAATGCTTGATTTTTAAAAAGTACTCTTATGCTTGTAATTTTATATTTTATTGCATTGTGTTTTGATTAATCCTTTATTATTGCAAATTGTGGAATATTTCCAATAACTTAATCTTCTGTCGAAAGGAATCGTTTTTATTTACGAATATATTAAAAGCACAACTTCAAGTCTTGCTTTTTTATTGTATTATACATTCTGTATTTTATTTATATTAATTTTTATATTACAAAATTAGGAGTACAGTAGAATCAATGTCATAAGATATTTAAAGAATTATAGTACATATTCCATGATCTTATGCTGTATCAGACAGATAGTTTTATATTATGCAATCACGTGATAAAATGAATGTAATATCGAAACAAGCATTTAATATTAGTGAATATAATAATAGTCCATTACATATTGTTATATAGAATATTAAATAAAGAAAGGTGGAAAGCTTGTGGTACTTTCACTGTATTGAGAAAAAATGCTTAATCGATACGGATTGAAAAGTGGATTGTCAAAGCTAAAAGCGATTTTTGGCGGTGCAGGTGACTTGCTTGCTTTTATGTATCGTATACCATGGGTAAACAAAGGCTATGCGGACAATGAAATGTCACGGGTGGAAATTCTGTTTCGCAAAAAGCGTAATACTGCGAGTATTGGTGGAACTAATCATACTATCAGTGATCCAATTGATACAGGCGGGTAACGTCAGCCGCGCTTTCAAAGTATGTCAACGGTGCATGAACTTTTTGCACGAAAGTGTTATTGGTAATTTTGAAAATTGCTCGTATTTTTATTTCGCTAGCTATATCGATCCGCGGTCGTGACGGGCGTTATTTTTACGCGGTGAAGCAACGATGGAAAATAGCGGCATAAATTCTTATCGTAGAAAGATATAATAAAGATACGATTTGAATTATGAAAATCTACCTATATTATTCTCTTAAAATAGGAAATAATTTTATTCTAAGGTATTCATTAACTCGTGCAAGTATTTTTGCACATAAGTGGATATATGGAGATAGATACTTTTAGTATTTTTTTAATAGGCATCTAATAATAGTTTGAACCAAATTGTTTTCGACAGGAGATATTTCTGATATGGCAAGTTGCATCAATGACTAGACTTTTCATTCTGTTGTCGAATTTTTGTCAGAAATTAATTAACAATAGTAATGTCAAAATAAAAAAAATGACTTTGAAAGACAGATATAATTAAATACACTGCATGACCTGCATTTTTAGCATATCTTTTATTTCCGTTTGAATAAAAATACAATGAAACTGAAAACCGTAACAACAATTGCAAAAAAAACGTAATGGCGAACAAATTTCACGTTTTATCCTACCCGTTGAGTAAAAATACAGATTTACCGTCTAAATGCTAAAGTGCAAATCCAACATTTGTTTATATGGAACGCGCGTGCCCGATTTGCGCGTAAATTTGCCACGATTCAAAACTTTTAACCGGTTTACCGCGTCGCGACAAAATGGAAGTAAATATCGCGGGAGATTTTCCTACCGTTATTCGACGCGACTTAATGCGGCCGAATTGGGGACCATGCATTGAAAATACTTCATCGTTTGATTTACGTTTGCATGTATCATCGCTTTTAAGCTGCCAGCAGTAATCAGCCGAACGTGGCCGGCCACCATTTCCCTCGATAGCGCTTTTTCACGGTGGAAACGCGGTGAAACTTTTACTTCCCTTTCGGCCCAGATGGAAATTCTGTCATCCCGAATATCGTGTGTAATAGCCATTAATGTTTCCAATCGTAGTTCCATTTTTGTTTTATTTTCTCGTTTAGGTAAGATACAAACGTGTATCTTTAATCATATTAAATATTGTTAACTCGAATTTATACACATATTTTGAATTACTATTTGAAGATTTTCATTCTTAGCATTATTTCCACATTTAGCATTATATTCTTTATTAGAATACAAAAATATAATACGTAGCATATAAAAAATCACGATCATTGATAAAATCAGATTAATAATTCTTTTACTTTCTTTCTGTTTTTTATTTGGTAATATATATTCCTTAAAGTAAAAATATAAATATTTATTTAAAAATGGTTTTAAGGTTGTTTATATAAATTTCTAAAAAGTTCTCTTAGACATTAAAATTATATATATTATATAACTGAGATATTGTAAATTTTATTTTACCATTTTAAACATCTTAAATAGATATAAATTTTTCTTTCATATTTTAATATTTTTAAATTATTTTGCTAAATTTTTAAAAATTGAAAACATGGTTAAAATTTTTTTCTATCTCAACATCTATGAATGTTTTTTAAAAAATAAGTAATGATTTTCTTCTTTTAATTAATAAGACTCGGTATTGCAAGAGTTTGCTTTGCACACTAAATCGTTTTCCACTCGGTGTGTGTCTTGTTTATGGTTTGGTTTCTTGCGGTGGTAAGTCGTATCTTTCGGATGGTACGTAATGCATAATGAATGTGTATAGATCGGCAACATTTCTAGAGCCCCAGAGTAAATATTCGGGTGGTCATGATAAGGTCAGCGCAGAGGCTTTGAATATTAACTTGCGTCTCCATTTTGCATGTCGACGCGATCATGGATACTAGCTTTTGGGTAAGCCTAAACGATCATGCAATATTGCAGTATGTCAGTGGTTGAAGCAGTGAGGTATATCCGTACGAAAGTACGCCATGTGGTTACGCGAAATACGTAGTGTTATCTGGCTGATGACGCACGTACGACACTGTATGTATATCATATTAGATATACATTATTAATTTCGTTAGATACGTTGATAAGCAAATACATAAAAATTGTTATATAATTGAGACACGCTCTTTCTTGAGAATGTAAGAGAAAATTCATGTCAACTAAAATGATACATAGTGCGGCGAGTAGATAACGATATTGAAAAGATGTAAAAAATTGATATATAAAATAACGTCTGTTGTATTTTCCTCTATCGAAACACTGTCCGCCATGAACTCAATATATTACTTACGATAGTATAAGTTTTCCACTGACTTTGAATATTCTTTTTTAATAATTTATTTGCTCATATTCTATGAATTGAATATTGAATGTAGAATGAAAATACTTATATTTTACAGTCAATTTTAATTTGGAAGACTCGAAGAAGTCTGTCATAAAATATTTTTTGGCTAAAATTTCATTTTGACAGAAAGACGAAGGATAGCCACACAAAGCGTTTTCTGACCAAAATTTTATTTTGATCAAAAAAACGTTTCTGTCGGTGCGTTTAAATGAAATTCGTGAGATACGTACGTTTGCACAGAACAAAGACCCAACTCGTGATCACTTTGTGATATAATCTTGACATGTGATATAATCTAGACAGCAATACACTTTTCTCGATTTATTACGAAACTTATATTGAGTATTTTTTATCTGATTCCATTACTTTCTCTCTCGCGACACTGTGCATATATTTTTCTTGATACAAAACACGCACGTTTTAATAAGCACAGTTCTCTTCCAAAAAGTTGACGCAAAAAAATGTTAATACTGATACTAATGCTAAGTTCTAAGAGTTCATT